CTATTGCAACCAGCAGGGAAGTGATGACATCCTAGCATGCACGGCAGTGGGTAGAGTAGGGAAGCCGTAGACTGCTGGTCTGACCCTGCCCACTCTCAGTGCAGAGCTCCCTGCTGTCACACCTCCTTCCCTGAGACTGGGAGGTGCTGGAAAGCTCTGTAAAGTCAAACTGCTCTTCCACACTAGTTTTACATTAATTGATTCATCAGTTCACTTGCTGGGTCTGCTGAAAACCAAGTGAACTGAAGCACAGGAGCTGACTCAATGTAAATGAGGATATTCTCTCATCCAGACTCTGTGTGTCATCTCTCTTATCTCCCTATGGTTCAGTGTACTGGTGTACTATTGACTGAGAACTGTTGTAATTCTCAGTGTAATGTTAGCTCTCTGATTGGTTGCAGGAAGGGGCTTACCTTTCTCACTCTAGGATCATATTCAAAGAGCTGCTGTCCTATTGATTCAAAACGGAACTCTTTCATATGTATCAGTTATCAGTTCAGTCAGATGAATCATTTCATCCATTTCACTGAAAATAATCAAATTCAAAAGAAAGATTCCTTCATGAACTGGACATCACTATTCCACACAGCCAGATGCTGTTAGGAGGAGGTAGGATGACTTCAAAGCAGAGAAATGTGTCATGCAGAAGCACCTATATATGTATGTGCAGTCGGGGAAAAAAAAAACTAGTCACTGGAGCATACAGCATTTTGTAGCTCTTCCCATCTCCACCCATCTCCATATTTTGCAATGGCTCATGGGAGATGTAGTCTGCTTTCTTTAATGATAAATGGTTCCAGCAGTTTGCTTCCTCTGACTGAGAGGGACCTAGTTATATAAAATAATGTGCATCCCGGAGTTCTTCTTTAAAGATGAATGACAACTTGCAAAAATAAAAATGCATGTAAGTACCTTAACTATTAACAAGAATGTATCTTATTTGTGTATCACTCGGATGTAGAACCTCAAATCATCTCTGAATTGGTGCTGGCACTATCCTTCCTTCTAGAATGTGGTTCCCCATGTGTGTTGCAAAGTAGCCACCACTCCAAACTCACTCCCGCGATGGACTATAATCTCAATACAAATTAGTAAGCATCACAGGAGTAAGCATGGAGCGGTGACTACTTTACAACACACACAGGGACCATGGGGAACAAAAGTAACCCCCCTCCAGAAGGAAGGACAGTGTCAGCACCAATTCAGAGATGATTTGGGGATCTACAGCCGAGTGATACACAGATAAGATACATTTCTGTTAATAGCTGGGGTACTTGAATGTATTTTTAAGATTTAACTCGAGTTTAGTGTCACTAAGTGTTGGGGGATAACTGTAAAGCCATAGGTTAAAGTGATGTTAAAGTCAAGTTTTTAAAATGCTGATAAAATCACTTACAATGGATGCTGCTTCTTGATGTTTAAGAATTTTAGTTTCCTGCAAAATCAGGAGAGCCCCTGAGCACTGGTCCTGATATCTTGTTTTAGGGTGGTTCCTTTCCCTTGCACACAGCCAGAGCAAGGCGAGCCACTCCGCCCTTCTCCATGTTAGTAAATGGACAGCTGTTGGAGACAGTGCTGTCCCTTGCGATATTGTACTGGACAGGAAGTTCAGAGAAGTCGAGCTGAAAAAGTTACATAGTTAATAGGGCTTCGGAAAGGAACGATTAATTACCCGATTAATTGTTAATATTTTTGATCGATTAAAATTATTTTGATCAATAATGAAAACACTCACCTCTCCACCGGCTTCCGGGAGTCCCGTCGGAGATCCGGTGATGTCACCGGACTCCTCCCCCCTTCCCTTCGTTAGCCAACGGAGCCACTTGGGCCGGTGTTCTATCGATAGTCCCAACTTAGAGTTCTGGGACCGCCTGACTTCCGGTTTCCTTAGAACTACGAGATTGGCCAAAAAGTTCTTCTGCACAAGCGCCATTGCCCTATACACATACAGCACAGCAATAAAGTACTAAAATGAACTAGGATCACAGTAATCCAGCACGTTATTATTCTGAGTTGCCCCACTCAATATGGTCGCCGCTTGAGTGGGGCAACTCAGAATAATAGAAAAAAGGGGGTTGTGTTCCTTCCTGGAGATCCGACTGATTATGTCTGCCCTAATTAGATTTACACATAATTGCTTGTTACGTCCGATCCGTGGCCCAATTGAACCAGTACAAAAAAACGAGGGTTAACCCGTTAAAAGATAACGGGTTAGTAGCGGGCAACTTAAGGATCCGGACACGTCAACCAATTGTAGAAAATATATAATTTTATTGAAAAACCACACACTATTGCACATTAGATTCACCGACTACCATTAAAAACATTGTAGAACACATACAGTCATGATTAATATGTGGATCGATCCTCATTAACATTAACCTTGTATCCCCACCATGGGGGGGAGGAAAAAGTAACCGATGTAGCTATAGCTTCGGTTCCTTTTCTTTTATCCTTTACACACGTATGTCCACTTTCGTGAGTAGTATTGATCAAGGAGAAGGATCCCAAACTGGAAGGGTGAGAGAGGAGGGAGACAACGAAAAAGGAAAACGTTCTTCTGATTTTCCTATTCAAATGTAATGAAGAGTTCTATGTATATCTCTAGTTCGCAACACCCCCTCTCTCTGTTTTCGACTGAATTATCTCAGGTGTTTTTAGATGTTACTTATTTATTTATTTAATATTTCCTGTATGGATGTCTTCTTTGTTCGTAGAGATATTATTCTTATTTTTACTCCCAAGTTATTTCATCTTTTGTTTTCCGTTTGTTATTGAAATTTCAAATTCTCTGTTATTAGGTAATGGGTACCTCTGATTCAAATTTAACCGTGTGTGCTATTAACTCCTTTCTGCTCGTCTGCAACGTGTTACTCTAATTGGAGTGGTGGGGTGTATCAAGTCCTTTTGTTTTGAGGGGAAGGGAGTTTTCTCACGGACAGACTATCACTGGGTCATCATTAATAAACCAACCGCCTGACTCATTCCTTTTCTTTCTTCTTTTATTTAGTTTTGAGTGTAGATGTTAGAAGTATCTATCTCAGAGTGTTATATAGCTGATGTCCTTAACGGATATATGTAACATTTTTATCACTCACGATACTGTAGTCTTCTCAGAGTCCGGGCGGCTTGGGGATTTCCCAGTGCAAATCAAATATCCACTTCAATATAGGTACGACTCGCCACCTCCTCAGTGCAATGTCCGCTGTTACACACTCTCCGATAGCAGACACGAGCGGTGTTTCTACCTCGTGGGTCTCCTTTGAAGTCTCCTGGATGTTCGGGATATAGTCTGTCCGTCTGTGAGAGCCTCCAGCCCCAAATTGCAGGTTCTTACCAAGGTTGGTAAATCTTTTAGGTAAAGTTTTCAGAATCGTATGTCCACTTGTGATATGTGACTGCAGGCTTGATTGCTGTCTAGTTGTCGACGCGTTTCGCCCCTCCCATTGTACGGGGCTTCGTCAGGACATAATCAGACGTTGGGAGAGATGTTGCTTAAATAGTGGGGTCACGCCCCTTTTTCCCTTTTTAAAAAAAATGAGAGTAGAAATTTGGATTTTAAGGAACAGTTCTCTCCCCTTTGATATAGCCTTCTATCAATTTCGTTAGACAGTATCAACATAGAATTTACATTTCTCTATTACAGAGTAAAGGTAAATAAAACAACTGTTTTTGCGTGGCCCAGGTATAGGGGGTGATTGTATATATCTTCCTCCCACAGGCCTAGGTGGAGACATGCATAGGATGGGGCCCAAGGAGCCCCCATCGATGTGCCCCTAATCTGTTTGAAGAAGGCTCCTGAGAATTGGAAACTGTTGTTGTGTAGGGCAAAGGTTAAGAGTTCTACAATAAATTCATTTTGTGTTGCCATCAATGGAAAGTGCACATCGAGGAAATGTTCTATAGCTTTTAACCCCCATTCGTGTGGTATTGACGTGTAAAGTGATTCCACATCAATACCCACCAATAGGGAACCCTCCTCTATCTTTAGATCATTTATTTTATTTAGTACATCTTTGGTGTCTCTGGTGTAGGAGGGCAAACGCAACACCATTTCTTTCAGAAGGGAATCTAGATATTTGCCCATATTTTCAAGTGGCCCTCCTACTGCAGAAACTATGGGTCTTCCCGGGGGGTTATTGTAATTTTTATGAATCTTTGGTATAATATAAAATGTTAGAATATTATAGTTGTTTATCTTTAGAAAACAGAATTCCTTGTGTGTCAATAAGCCTGCTTCTAGAGCTAGTTTTATTTTATCATTGAACTCACTCACCAAAACATTGAAGGGGGATTCTCTCAACTTAGTGTACGTGTTTTTATCATTTAATAATTTTTTAGTTTCCTTCGTATACATGTCCTCAGGGAGGAGCACAACATTCCCTCCCTTGTCACTGCTTTTGATTATTATCCCAGGCGTTTCTCTAAGTTCTCTTAGGGCTTTTCTTTCTAATTTGCTCAGATTGTCAGTACTTTTTACTGTCCAATCGACTTGCTTGAGTTCTCTCTGCATCAACTCCCTGAATAAGGCCAGATGTCTATTATTCAGGAAGTTGGGCATTGTTTTTGATCCTCTCTTTAGGGGTGTGATTCTTTTAGTTAATGTTTCCGGGTGTCTTGGGATATTGTATTTTCCTCTAAAAGGTCTTCTAGATCTCTTAGCGCCTGTGCATCCAGATCTGATACTTTTTGTTCCTTTATCTGTGGGGGGTCCTTATCAGTTTGAGGTGTTTTTCTAAGTTGGTGTATGTATTTCAAATATACCTTCCTTAGGAACAGATTTAAGTCTTTGTATATAGTGAATTCATCCATGCCATCCACCGGGGAGAAAGATAAGCCTTTTTTGAGGAGGCTTATATGATATTCATTTAATGGGAAATTGGTAAGATTAATTACATTTTTAGTCTGATCGTCCCCCGGAGGATGGCATGGATTCAATTCCGAGGACTCCTTGTCCTCATATTGGTTTTTATCTGGGATTGAGTGTTTTGACCGAACATGTTTTCTCTTCTTTGGTCTTCTATTTTTCTTTGGTCTTTTAATCTGTATGGGGGGCCCTCCTCCTCTAATAAAAAACTCACTGACTTTGGGGGTTCACCTTCGCTTCCACTCGTGGAGATGTCTCTAGGTCGTCTTTCTCTACTGTTGGAATATCTTCGTCTAGACGTATTTCTACCCCTATTATGTGTGGGTGTGAAGGGATCCCCTCTCTCCCAAATCCCTTTGGAATTTGGATTGTTTTGTGTGTCTTAGATTTTTTTTGACTTTTTCTACTTCTTTGCGTAGTAAGTCATTGGGGGTGATTTACTAACCTAAACACACACACACACACCAGGTGTGTGTGATTTTCACACAGCAAAACGTATTTATCAACCAAAAAGTCTCTAAAAGCATATTTCCACTAATGCCATATATGGAAAAATCATGCACATGATGCATATATAATGCTGCTTCACAGTTTAGACAAAAATGGTTAGCTCATGCATTTACATTCCTTGCATTCATCAACGCAAGCAACACAACATAGAGCTAATTTACCCAACATCACCTTGGAATTCCTTCAGGGCTTTGCACAACACACCTGCTGGGTGTGTACACATTACAAAGGTGTTTAGATTCCACCCATAGATCATGCTGGGAGGGAACACACTGCAGAGGTGTATACACGTTCGTGGTGTGTTTATAAGGTTAGTAAATCAACCCCATTGTGTTTCTTAAAGCTTTCTAAATCTTTTAATGGCTCTAGTCCCTCTGAGCTCTCTTTTATTTGTAATTCAAGATCTCGCATTTGTAACTTTTCCTCCTCCACAATTAGTTTAACTAATGTCAGGCCATGATCTATGCATTGTGCTTTCCATTTCGTCAGAAATCGTTCATTTTGAAGATGTTCTGCAGGTATGACTTTTTCCCTCAGGCCTCTTGGAATCATTTTTGCCTGTAGGTATGATTCAAGTGACATGACATCCCATTTTCTATTTAGATGTTTTATAATAGATTTTTTATGTTCTTTAAACTTGTCCTTTATTTCACTCTCTGTTTCTATCATTTGTGGATTTCCCTGCTTGAACGCTTCTTTGATTTCCTCATCAATGTCTATTCCTAATGTATAGGCCATCTTTATTGGAGTTTTAATATCTGTGGTTTATACGGCTATGTAGAGATTTAGTAATTGACTATAAAATAATAATAGAGGTATTCGTGAATCAAATGTGATGTGACTTCTAAGCTGAGTACCAATTATTTTAGTGGAGGGGCTGCAGTCGATCTCACACAGGGAACGGAAAAAATAGAAGCTCAAGGCTTCCAAGAAAAGTTTGCAGAAAAAAGGGGGTTGTGTTCCTTCCTGGAGATCCGACTGATTATGTCTGCCCTAATTAGATTTACACATAATTGCTTGTTACGTCCGATCCGTGGCCCAATTGAACTAGTACAAAAAAACGAGGGTTAACCCGTTAAAAGATAACGGGTTAGTTATCTTTCAACTCGGAATAATAACCTGCTGAATTGTTGTGATCCTAGTTCATTTTATTACTTCATTGCTGTGCTGTATGTGTATAGGCCAATGTAGTTGGATCTGTATGTGCGTTATAATTAATCGATTAAAAAAAATTTCTATTAATCGAACACAAAAATTTTAATCAGTAACAGCCCTAATAGTTACATAGTATTTGAGGTTGAATAAAGACATATGTCCATCAAGTCCAACCTATTTGTGTATGTGCGTATGGTCCTGTTGGTGTGTAGTATGTAAAAGGTCCCTGTGTGTTCTCAATCTTAAGAGTACTTGTACCCCTGTATATTACGGTCTCTGAGGAAATCGTCCAATCGCCTATTGAATGATTCCACACTCTTAGCCGATATCACAGCATGCGGCAGCGAGTTCCAGACCCTGACTTATCTAACTGAGAAGAAACCCCTTCGCCACTTGTGCTGAAATTTTTTCTCCACTAGTTTAGGTGGTGGCCTCTCGCCCTTGTCATGGAGTTAATTGTAAAAAGTTTGCTGCTAATGTTGCTATCCCCGGTAAACATTTTGTACATGAAAATCATGCCCCCCCTTAATCTCTTTACTTCCAATGAGAACATGTTTAAATTTAGTAGCCTGTTCTCATAGCTCAGGTCCTCCATCCCCTTTATGAGTTTGGTTGCCCTCCTCTGGACTCTTTCCAGTTCAAGGACATCCCCCCTGTTCACTGGTGCCCAATACTGGACCGCGTACTCTAGATGAGGCCGAACCAGCAATCTATAAAGTGGCACAATTACGGACATGTCCCTGCAAAACATTGCAGTTGGAGCCAACCGTTCAGAAACAAGATGACTAATTGCTAGGACAAAAAAATTTAAAGAAATATTTTGCTGGGCAATGTATATTTGTTTGATCTGGATTCATTTTTGAAAAAAAGTTTGAGAATTCAATACTAATTTGAAGTGTGGGCATAGTACAAAGAAAATAAAAAACATTTTGTAAACCTCTGCAATACATGCACATTACCCATGCTGCAAGTACAGAAAAATGCCGCTTGATCTGCCAGGAATCCAGTGAGCTTCTAACTTCCTGTAGGGAGCTGATAATAAAGATCCTGAAAGTACAGAAAAATACCAGCTCATCTGCCAGAAATGCTCTCAGATCTTCTCCTGTTGTGGGCTGACAACGGACACCGCATTTTTGTGGACCGAGTGGTGTCAGCCCTGCCCAGTTTTCTTTTGCCAAACTACATAAACCCACAAATTCTCCCATCTACACAGCATAGATCCTGATCATTCAGTAGTCTAATGATACCAGCAAGGAGGGCTAAATACTCTCCTGGAGATAACACAGGACGTGTGCACAAGGACACCTCTGAATTTCTGACATGATCAACAAGTATTCTGTTGATACTTATAGTTTCCAACTTTTGTGATGATTACAACAACGTTTTGTTGAAATTGTCATATTTTTACTTTACAGAATATTGCAGAAATATATATAGAGCTCCATTGCAGGGTAAACCTGCCCCTGACTTGATAATGGCTCAAACTGCCAATCCACTTTCTTGAGTGCAATACAATACGATTACACCAAAATGTACGTAAAGTGCATTAATAACTTACTGACATGTCACAACATACACCGACAGTATCATTTTTTTACTTTAATCATGAAATCTATTACTAACCAAAACATTTGCTTTTGGTATTAGATAAGAGTAGGTATTGATTAAAACCCTGCCAGGTTTTTGTTTGTTATATGTCCTGTTTCTAGAAACACAACAGGAAGTGAGAGGAAATCCAAAGTGAGAAGCGACAGATGTCACCAAAACAGGTGTCCTTATCGGAAAGACTTCACTTCCGGAAGTAGAAATTTGACAGCTGTAAAATTCTGGGTTTCCCCTCTCTTTCCGTAGTGGTGACATTGGTCACTAGAATAAATAGAATAGAAATTCATACCGCACTTCAAAAGTACTCTGAAGGTAATTTATCAAAACTGGAGCAGCTGTACACGGCAACAAATCAGCACCTTTCTCTCATTTTCAAATCTTAACTGAACAAACTGAGGAGAGAAGCTGATTTGTTGCCATGGGCAACTGCTCCAGATTTTGTCTGCTCCAGTTTGGATAAATTCTCCCCTCTGTGAATAAATCTATTGAAGATGACACCGTAGGATTAAGCCCTATTTGTGGGTGAAACACATTAGCGGGAGAGACTCTGGCGGTTGGATGCGACTTTCATCTTCAATGCATGGAGTTCTTTTGGTGCGTGGTATGATTTTTTTATTTTCTATCGGATGCACTGGCTGGTGCAGACAAACTTGTAATCATACCAGTACCCACAGTGAAGAGGTGTTACATGGAGCAGAGTGTCTGGTTTTGTAAACTACAGAGAAAATACAGTATCTCATCAGCCCACCAATAAATCTTCATTAAGTGATGCCTTTATTGACGTTCAGAATGTCAAAAAAAAGCCCATCTTTGAGACCTCACAGGGTCCCTTCATCAGGCTAAAGTGACCGATAAAAATACACTGCAAGGTCTTGAAATATTGCTTTTTTTTTTTGACAAGTTGAATGAATGTCAATAGAGGCGTCAGTGGATGAAGATTTGTGGGCTGGTGATTTTCTACTTGGATCATAAGTGGCAAGTTACTACAGAACATGGAAAGATGAGGTATACCAGTTAGGTTGGTGGATATCTGTATGGTTTTGAGAAGTATGACAAATGGAATGAATTTTGCAGGGGTTCTCACCTTTCCCAGCTCTATCCAAAACTAGAATTAAAAAAACTTGGGCTAGAGATACATTTAAAAAAAAAATCAGTCCTTGCACTCTAAGCACGCGACTTTTCCTAAGCTGAGATGATATGATCAATCTTTTGCAGGCAGGAGGAAGCATTTCCTCAGTCTCCTTTCCCCCAGTGATCAGACTGCAACCTTGTAGACATGTGCATTCAAACAAACCTGCAAATCAACAAAGATCAGTTGATTCGGCGGTTCGTCCGAATCCGAAATAACGAATTTAATATATGCCCGAATATACTAAAACAATATTCGGGCATACAAAAATTTGTTTTCAGAACACGCCGGCGGCCATATTGGCTGCCAGCATATTCTGCGCATGCCCGCCATCTTGGAGGCAGAGCGTGTGACGTCTCGCGCTGAACGAGCGGTGGTCAGATCGGTTTTAGTGCAGTTTCGGATTCGGAGGCTCGTTGCCTCCAAATCCGAAACATAAAAATTTGTTTCCTTTGACAAAACAAATGAAAACGTTTTTCGTTTTCATTTGTTTGGAAACATTTTTTGTTGTTGTTGTGAACAACCTTGTAACTTTACAGCAAGTCACAATGTGAGAGGCTGCAGCAGGGGCTGATTTGTGAACAAGCCAAGAACTGTACAGGCACCAGGATTTACAGGGTTGACATCTCAGAGGGAAGATAGCTCTGTCTTTCAGCAAAGAAAAGCAGAATATATTGCATTGTGGTGATGAATACTGTGATCTCTGAGAGAGTTAATAAAAACCTAAGTGTTACACCTACACATTACTTAGCATGCATGCACTTAACATGAAAAAATATATCCATCTGATGCTAGGTCCACTTTAATGGTTGAGTGAGCATTGCAGAAAATTCATCTACTGGTAAAATATTCAGGACAAAATTGATATAAAAGCGGTGATCCTACGGTGCTCCTGCTAGTTCTACGGGTAGAGGTACAGGTATCCAATCAGATCCAGCAATCTAACTGAAAGAAACAAGGGGGAAATTCAGACAAATTATGCAAACACGACTGTCAATAGATCCATGGATACATGCTGCAGAGAGTGGGGCCATTTCATTACATTGTGCCATTTTCCTGTGAGTTCAGAGCTGGGGGGCAAAGCTTTGACACCATGTGCTCACAGGAAGTGGGTTAAATGACGTTGGGCATCATTCAACTGAGAAGAGGTGTGGCACTGCATTGCTGGATCAGTGAGTATGCAGATGGAGACTCTTTCTAAATTTTACAGAACTGCTGAGGATCAACCTTTAGTTTTATTGCCCAAAATAGAATTGAGCTTTAAAGCAGAACTTCAGCCAAAAATAAAATGAAAATGAGACAAAAAACACAAAAAAAAAACAACTAGACATGTGCGATTCGTTTCGGAAATATTCGTTATTCGGACGAATTTTCGGATGTATCCGAATGCAGAGCCATGCAAACCATCTTATTAAGTCCCAGGGGCCAAGTGAGCATGCAGAGCCACTGGTGTAAGCGATCAATCCAGATTTCTATGGAGTAGGAATAGGAGTAGGGGCACTGGTTTAGTACAAAGTTTGCTTAACCATTGCATGTCTGGTAAATTGCTGCTGCTCTCCACCCCAGCTCTATGGGTGGTACTGATGATGGCCATCAGCACCAGAAAAACGCAGATGCACAGTTGGTCCCTAGGACATACTATAGTAGAGTATTGGTAGAGTTGGAAAGCGATCTTGCTACTGCTATATCTATATATTATTATAATATAATATATTATCCTGGTTGAAATGCACATAATTCACCAATGAGCTTCAGCTTATAGGACTTGTTTTACAGTCAGCTGGTACATCACCATAGCTCCTCACACATGCTTAATAAGTATGAATAGGATACAGCAAAAAAAAAAAAAACTTAGAAGAGTTGCTATAATAAATCATTTATTTTTGTTTTACTAAAGAATAAAAAAAACTTGGACATTAACAAACGTAATTGGAAAAACACAATGCAAGAAAACAAAAAAATCTACACACTGTGTAAGTTAGGGGTAAGTAGGATGAAAAGATACTGAACACGTCACACAGAAAGTTGGCAATTACAACACACAGGAGATCCTGGAGATTCTTACAAATGACAAGGTTTAGCCACAGAAACTCCTAATATCTCCTGTATGTAAAGGATGACCATGCTGCCCCACTCCTACCTATATTGGATTTTCATTTCTCAGCCGAACACCTTCCACACTGTCAGTGCTATTCAGGTGTATGACAATTTAGAAGACTAGAAATACTAGAACAGGATAAGTGGCGCAAGAATACAAATTGGCACCATTGTAAGAACAAAGACTTTTAGACAGCAATTATACCCAAAACTTTAAGAACAGTGACACTTTTATCTCACTGTACCCTATTACTGAATGTGACAGTAGCAGAGTAAGGAAATATACAAAACATACTGTTCAGGTAAAAGCAAACTCCTATATGCTACACTGCAACTGCTGGAATTGAGGTCGTTTTTCTACACTCTGTGTGGGGGCAGCACAGACAAGAATAAGTATACACTATTGTACTGTGTTACAATTTTCCAGGGTCCTATGGTTGATTATGCCCACATTCTGTAGTACACTTGGATTATTTTTTATTACATTTTTGCATTATATACAGAGATTGCACCCATTGCCTATTTACAGAATGAACATTCCCAGGCCCTTCCAGTACCAAGCTGTTATGGGGATAACTGTATGGACAACCTTGTTGCTACACAGCACACTGAACAAAAATATTTACAAACCACTGGGGAAATCCTACAATATCCGAAGAACATTAACTGTTATATTAGGTACACCAAAAGAACATATTTACAAAAGGCTGCTTTCCCCAAAGTACAGTGACTCAGGTCTTGGAGAAACAATTCCACGTCCCCAAATAAGCTCCATGTAAAGTGTCTGCACAAGGACGGGTAGATATTTCAGAGTGTGCCCCTCCAATTAGAGCACAAATGGGAAGAGTGCATACGCCACGTCTGTGCAACTTGCCAAGTCAATGAGACACATCTAGAGTGTTACCTGAAAATAAAATGGTGAAAAAATAAAATATATAATGAAGTACACTGCAAAAACAATGATGTCCAACACCTGTATTCTTTTGGTGCTATACATGCTATTAAACACAAAGTAATTGCAAAATATAAAGAATCAGTAAAATATGCTCTATGAACAACAATGTAACTGCTCAAACAAGAATGTGTTGGCTATTGTGGCCATTAATTCCTTGGACCAGGGGGGTGGAGTGCAACAAATCTTTGCCCTTGCATCCTTAACCGCTTGTTTTGCCTAGGGCAGGGGTAGGCAACCTTGGCTCTCCAGCTGTGCTTAAACTACATAACCCATCATGCTTCTGCCTCTGGGAGTCATGCTTGTGGCTGGCAATGCCTTATGGAATTTGTAGTTTCAGCACAGCTGGAGAGCCGAGGTGGCCTACCCCTGGCCTAGGGTATAATTAATATGGTGATATACATATCTTATTTTCCACAAACTTTCTCCATGCTGGAGACCGCTCATCTCTAGGATGTCATCCTGTACAATGCAGGACCAGCAATCCTGCATTGCTTGCGAGGTAGCCCAAGGGCCCACTAACAACCCAGGTTATCGGGCAGCTGAGAACGCCAAATGCCAGGGGAGCGAGAAATAATGCAAGTATATTATCTTATTTACCATCAAAACGAGCAGTTAACCCTTGCAGTGCAGAGGGGGAGCCACAGCAAAAATAATGTTTCATTCCCCACAGTACAGGTGGTTGCTATTTTTTTTTTTATCAACAACTGCTCTAGCTTTGAAAAGTAAATCGGTCAGAAGACAAAAATTAGGAGCCGCTTTTACCTACAATTTTCCCAAAGCTCATACTCCAGGGCTCCGATCCTTATCCATGCTACTTGGGACGGTACTGACATGAAACAAGTATTTGTATAGCTGGTGTTCCAAAACCTCATTGGATGCAAGCTTCTCAGATCCATGAGACAAGTAGTTCAATGGCCCTAGCTTTCACAGTAATCCAATGGCTTCTGTACTTTTTAAAAGGCATGGGCTCAAAACAAGTATGAAGACTAGGAGTCCTGACTTCACTTTCCTCATCTGCATGCTAGTTTCAGGTCAGTGTCTCAAAGATGTCAAAACATGTAACTTGCATTTTCAGATGGAGGTCAGGAATGACAGCCTTTCATTTCTCTAATCACAAATTCCTTTTCAGGATTGTGTAAAAAAAAATATCAGGACATTGTGGGCCATGAGCTTTTCTTTCACACATCAATACACAATGCTTTAAACTAGTCCTGCCCCAGTCTTGTATTTCCCACAGTAAAATTCCATATGGAGAATTAAAAGGCTGATTTACGTTAGGCTTTAAGAAATGATAATTACTCTAAACAAACAGGTATTTACACTCCTAAAAGTTCCAAATACCACTGCATCATACAAATGTTACACATGGGTCCTACTTACATGGTCTGTGGATTGAAGAGCTGTGAGAGTGAGAAGCACTGTTGTTGTAAACTCAAAGCCGGGTTAAGTGCTGAAAAATACAAAGTAGTGATTTGTATGACCACCAAAAATCCACCACACTAGTACTAAAGGTTTTTTCCGTGAATTTACCTGAAAGGGCAGGGTTCAGGGAAGTCAGTGGAATTACTCCATTCAGCTGCAGAGCAGCTTGAGCCGCAAATGGGATCTGCAGACCAGTACCTGATAGAGGGAAAAATCAACAGTATGAGCAAATGCTCACAAGTCAAAGATTTTATTCAAAGAATAAATATTTGACCTAAAAAGCAAAAGCCTCTCTCTTTCCCACCAAATTAATGACACCCACTCTTCAACTTCAGTGTCCTGTTTCAGACACACATGCGACAGGTATGCGAACTTCTTTGAAACTACCATACATGCAAATTTCTGCAGGAAAGGGCAAAGCAGAGGGAGGCAACAATGAAGTATATGTCAAGACATATGGTCAAGCGTGGCATTCAATCGAATTTTCCACTACCAACATCTAGAAGGCTGTAGAACAAACAAGGGTAGAAAATGCTTACTTTAACCATTAAACAGCCAGCAAATTGTGGTTGTGCGTAGGGATGCACAGATACGGGTATTTCGGTATCGAGTAAGGATATTTTTTTTTCGGTACTCGCCGATACCGAATACCAAGTACTGGAAGTCCCACCCGGCTTCCTGATTAGCAGGAAAGCCGCCCCATGCTTCTCGTCACTAGGTGACGAGAAAGCATAAAGCTGGCTTTCTGGCGAATCAGGAAGCCGGGTGCTGTGTAACGATGTGGCACCCGGCTTCCTGCTCCCTTGTCATGAGGTCGTCATGGCTTCCCGATTGGACAGCTTCCTACCAATCAGGAAGCCGGGCAGCACATCATTACACAAGTGACGAGAGAGCATGGAGTCGGCTTCCCGGCCAATCAGAAAGCCGGGCAGCGTGTAATGACCAGCTGCTGGGCTTCCTGATACCAGAAGTATCGGGCTAGGCATCAGAGCATTTGGGCGAGTACAAGTACCCGCCCAAATACTCGGCATCGGCACTGATACTAGTATCGGTGCATCCCTAACTGTGGGCGTGTTAAACCTAACAGGGATGGCGTAATCATTATACCACATTCATTGCAACCCACTATGGAATAAAGGGTCAAATAAAAATGCAATGAAAACATGAAAATAGTACCAGTTACTCATTATCCCAAACTTCCTGAATTATCATGAAGAAACAAAGATCTTGTAAGTGAACCATTTTTCAATTCATTCAAAAACTAATACAATGTTTTACATGGTTACTTATAACACTTACCTACAGAAAAAAAATAAATGAAACATATAAAGACTGAAGCCTGATAATGGATCACATGCAGTTTTGTCATGGACAATAACCACAGAAACATGGTAAATATTTTAGATAGCAAGCCATTAGAAATTAACAAAGTAAATTTACCCTCTGCCAATTTAGCCATAAGCTGCAATCTTCCAGTTGCCCCCAGATCAAACCCACTGCGCTCAAGATCCTCATTATCAAGGAACGAAACATCTGTATTGCCATCACCACGATCTGTCACGTGACCAACTTTCATGGGGCGACCGGCCAACTCAAACCCATTCAATTGATCCAGGGCTCGCCGAGCACACTCTGCATATGAAAACTAGGGGAGAATCAAATGAGCACTCAAAATGTAACTCCAGGCATGAGTAACAGTCAATACAAGCTTCCCTCTGATAATCATAAGTGTTGACAGTATTTACTTACAAAGCAGACTTTCACTAGAAAAAAAAAACAGTCCCAAGATCCTCTGTAGCTGTCCTGCATTTTAAAAATGACTGCACTAAAGGATGATATTTTTCCCAATGTTAGCTAATTATGCAAGACAGTGTTGCTGGGACTGCATTTACTAGCAAACCTTATTCTAGTGTGCATATCAGGCTGGTAGACAGCCCTCACCACATCAGACAGGTATGTGCTCTTCTTCATTTCTGCTGTGTGTTAATGTGTTTTTTATGAACGCCAAAATCTTTGATGCAATACTCAGAAGGGCAAAGACACAGGTATTATATATAGTGAAGTTTTTTCACATCATACCTGATATTTTGACTTGTTTGGAGTTTAGTTTTAATAGAGCTTTCCAATTAATATTGAAGCATAGTCACAGATCATATTGTTAAGGTTATACACAGAAATGTAACACTAAAAATTCAATGTGGTCAGCATACAGCAGTAAATAGAAGCTAGAATCAGCGGCATGTCGATGAACATAAATGGTAACCTTGCAAGCCAATAACTGTTTCCAAACAACAAATAGCCCTTACCGTAATAAATCCATAACCCTTGGACCGTCCAGTATCAGGTTCTCTAAGAAGCTGAATGTTGTCAATCTGGATGAAAAATAAATAAATAAATTAACATACCTTGAAATAAAAAATAGTCAAACAACTATATTGTACATTCAAATCAAAAGTGCAAGCAACCTTTCCAAAAGGTTCGAAGATTCCTCGTAGCATATCCTCAGTGATATTGAAGTGCAGAGAGCCTACATACAAACGTGTGGGTCCAGAATTTCCTCTCTGCAGATTATTTGCCATAGCTGCCAAACGGTTCTTCTCAGCCTAAAAAACAAAACGAATACAAAAATTAAACTAACATATACAGCACATTTACCCAATAGTGGTAATTATAATTACAGTGGTATTATAGTGTTAATTACATCTCGCTATAATACTCTCTACAACTCACAATAAAAGTAGGTACAGCACAAAATAATTGACCACTAAAAGATACCCAGCACATGTACTTTACTTTAGAACAGATATAATTAACAATGTTTTAAATAGCTGCCAAGAACTGATCCATTTAACAATCAAAGTGACACAAAACTCTGGCAGTAAAATCTTAAAAATTAATTCAAGTACCTCAACTATTAACAATGAGGGGAATTTATCAAAAGTGGAGCAGCTAAAATCTGGAGCAGCTGTGCATGGCAACCAATCAGCTTCTCTCTTTCATTTTCAAATCTTAACTGAACAAACGGAAGAGAGAATATGATTGGTTCTCACGCACCACTGCTCCAGATTTTAGCTGCTCCACTTTTGATAAATTCCCCCCAATGTATCTTATTTGTGTATCACTCAGCTGTAGATCCTCCACCGCTGCAAGTTCGCTCCAGTAATGGATTACAACCTCACATTTAGTTTACTAAAAATTGTACTGAAATGATAGTCTAACAAGGGAGTGAGGTTGAAGTGGTGACTACTTTACAACACACACAGGGACCATGGGGAACATAAGTAGCCACCCTCCAGAAGGAAGAACAGTGTCAGCACCAATTCAGAGATGATTTGATGATCTATAGCCGAGTGATACACAAATAAGACACATTTTTGTGAATAGTTAAAAGGTACTTGAATGTATGTTTAATATTTAACTCTTGAGTTTAGTGTCACTTTAACTGATGCAACCTATTACAACAAAAGCCCACAAAGTAATAACTGCAGGTCATAAGTTCTTCTTTGTCCTGCAAGGCACATAGGTGCAATCAGAAAATGGGAAAACAAAAAGAAGTTACTATAAAAAGGAAAAAAAAAAGAAGGATCTGTAAATCAGCCATGCCCACCTGTGAAGCCTGTACGATGATGGGTACACCCAGCAGTCTCTGTCCAGTTAGGCCAATGGCCAAAGGTACAGATTGGATATCTACAAATTCAACATATGCAATGCCCTTTGACCTGCGAGAGTTTCTGTCTGCTATAATTCTCACATCTCGCACCTAGAAAGACGAGAAATGATAGGTCAGCTACATGATTTTTGACAAAAAACACAAAAGAAAAAACAAGCCTTTATTGGAATGATTCTCTTACTTTTCCTACAGAAGAGAAAAAGTCCTCTAAGTCACGTGGACGAATGCGAGCAGCCAACTGCATACAAAATACTGTCCTTCCATCACGTTCTTCTGGAGTCAGGGTGGGTTCTGGTTGCCTGCGAAAAGTAGGACATACAATGATTTCAATAGGCAGAAAAAACAAACAAACAAACAAACAAACAGGTATTGAAAGGTTAGCTACACACATGCCTATCTCTCTCACTCTATATTGGCAGACCTCTGCAATGGGAGCCTCTTATTATTTAACCTGACAGGTTTACTTGTCAATCTAATCTGGCTGAAAACACTTTTAAGATGTTGGTACCTTAGAAATCTTTAAAGGTCAGGTTAAGTTCCTTGTGACTATAATATAATAAACTGTCATAGCTGTGTGATAGAAAGCATCACAGAAAGCACCAAAAAATGCAGTTATGTAGCCTTTTAGTTACATACAAATGACACTGGTCATAAAAAGGTTAAAAATGGAAATCTGTTCTTTTTTTCAACAACTTTTAAAGTACAAAACAAATACCTAATAGGACTCTTTTCCTTGTGTCGGGGGCTGCGACTTTTGCTGCGTGTGTGGCGCCGCCTGTCAAATTAAGCATTTTAATTAGCACTTTGTTTTGTTAAAGACATTTAACTCTAAAGAGCTTAAAAAAAATTTAATGAGCCAATACAAGATAGGTGAGTTGCAATAGTCCTTCTATGCATCATAACATTTAGAAATAGGAACATACAAGAAAATGTAAAATCACTACTATAGGAGAAGAGACGCTGCAGTTAAAAATAGGATTTTTGTACTTGGTCTATAATTAATTTTCTTAGAGTCCATTGACGGGAACCGACATTTTTTAGACTGCTGGGTTATACTGCCGCCTACAGAAAAAACTGACACTGGCAACGAAAAATGTTTTTTCCAGCAAAGGATCATCTGGTCCAGAAAAATCATGCATCAGTTTTGTAGCACTAGTACCTGTAGTACTGAGAGCATAAAAATAAACACAGAGGAGTCTGCTTCATCAGCTTCTCTTCAGCGTCTGAAGCTGGAGAGTGACACAAGAATGCGGAAGTGATGTAATATACACCACTTCCGCATTCTGACACCGAAGAGGGGACCGGAGGGAGATTGTGAACCGACCTCCCTCTGATCCCCTGTTACACAGGCACTATGCTGGTCCCGGGCTCGCACCGGGCACAGTGGAGCCCGGGATCAGCGTGACAGCGGGAGCCGCGGAGGTGGGCGGGATCATACTGGGACCTCATACAAGCGATCCGAAGGCTCTATAGCCGGTGGATCGCTTGTATGTTAACAAGCATCGATGCCGCTTTTTACATTGTGTCTTTCCCGCGCGCGCACGAGTGGGCGGGACTAACAGGCCGTGTATGCACGGCTAGTTACATCCAGAAAGCTCCCGGCCGGCCGTGTATACACAAAGGCCGGCCGGGAGGTAGTTAATATGCTAAACGCTGATACGGACACAGCTGCTAGAGTGGAAGCCCCGAGACTCACACCAAATTAAGTATACCCTTCATGTCTAACTATAGACCCTTATGGAAATAATCTTTATAGCAGTCTGTCTCAATCTAGCACCTGCTAATAGCAGTGGTAAAATGCCTGCCTGGTATAATGCAGAGGAATTTGGGTGGACTAGGAACCTGGCTTGGAGGATCTAAGTGAAGTGGAAAAATAAAAGCAACAAGGTACAAAAACACAAGAAGGAGCCATCAATATATCACTAATTTAAAGGATAAATCTCTGGGCGTAGTAGTCGCAGACAAAAATTGGTCTGAAGAATTCTTCCTTCACAGAAAGCACATCAAATAACGGATCCGCAGAGGGAAAAATACATAGTAATGATTCATGAATCTGAGGTGGTCTTAAGCAGACCAGACCAAAAAAGGGGTTCCCTTCACACAAGAGCCAAGTGGGATCAAGTCACATGCAGAGTAACCCCTGCTTCTGTTAGCCAGAGTCAGAGGTGAAGGCCCAGAAAAAACAAGCCAAGGGTTAAGTAACAATGCTCTAGTCAGTACCATGCCCACTACAAAATACACAGTGGCCACAAAGAAATGCTGGAAGGGATTGCACTGGTTGCTCAGAGTGACAGGGTGAAGTACTGTTCACATCTGCAGTAGGGTAGGTGGAGCTGCATAAAACTGCATAAAAGAATCCACATCAGCTGTAGTAAATGAACCATGAGAGACTTTAAAACTAAACTCCCTAAGTACAATTTGACCTGCAATACCAGAATACAATCTGACCATGATCTGTTTATATCTGCATCAAGGTAGTTGATGCTACTTGGGAACAACTGAACTTAAAAATCCACAGCAGTATCACAGCCAGAGGAGGCTTCTAAAAGTAGACACCACAAATACAAACTGACTGTCCATAAATCTGTGGTATGCAGTAACATGCGGCCCCTGCTCTTTAAAGCTCAGAGACGCTATGGGGGAACACAAAGCTGCCTGGCAAGCTCTTGGGTCACAGGATACTGAAAATACTTCATTTAGGAACCGAATAGCAAAGGCTCCATCAAGCGCACTCCTAAATTAAAGCTGCGTCGTCAACAGCCAGGGAAAAGGAAGGCGGGAATGTAAAACAGCGATATTCCCCAAAAGTGGCCTGCATTATCAAAAATAAAGAGAAGGGCTCTCCCATGTGGCCAACTTGTGAAGTACGACGGCAAGCCTAGAATAAAGGAGGGAGGAATTAACTCCCACACAAAATAGCTAATTAACTACAGAAGTGACTGTAGAAAATACCATATAGGTAGCTTCGCCACTTAAAACAGAGGAACCTCAACCTAGTATAAGCCTGCTAGAAACTCACAACAGTGAGTTGCAGAGGCAGGGATAGAAAAACTGCCAATTCTGAACCAATAACTCCACAGGGATTTCCCAGATATAATAGCCTGACCTGGATAGTTCTGTGTAAACTGGAACACAGAGGTAGTCACTGTTGAAAGCAGGACTGTTGCAGAGAGAACACAAGCACAAATAATGAACTGGGAATCTGCGCTCTCTATTACTAAGCTGTTTAGTGAAACATGTTAAGAGTTGGAGGGGCTTGTGTGTGTTTACAGTATATTTTGTCTTCAGGAATAAACAGTATCCAGCTTGTGATATCAGTCGTTTGTGCTGCAATTGTTTCTGTGGGAATCTGCTGTTTGGCTAACTAGAGAACTTTCCAGGATGTCCTCATGTGACCTGAATCTACCAGTAACTAGATAATTGGAGAAACTTCCAAAAATACAGGGTCGTTGTAGAAAGAACGCCAGTATAAACTGGGAAAACCTGCGCTTGGTGGCTGACTGGGAAGACTTCCAGGATTTAAAATATTCACCATGACTCTACCAGTACTTGTTGGCTGACCAGAGATGCTTCCAGGATTCAATATATCTGGAGGGAATCTACCAGCTGCTGTTGATAATACTTCCAAATGAACAGTGAACAGCAGAGCTGAAGAAAACACATTCACTCTGAGGACGCAAGCAAAAATCGGAGACAGTTGTTGTGAGTGGGGTTATCCCGTGTGCGACGCTTTAAAAGCTGTTACCGCTCATCAGTTTAGTGTTATCAGTGATTGGTGGCCCTAAAATGATTGCTCTCACTGCGACGTTCGCGGCGATATGTAACATGTGTAGCGCAATTGTAATTTTTGCGCGCTGGGGCACCGGACGCGTATTTACGTTTATAGGCGCGTAAACGTGGGGGTGGGGGAGTTAAACATTTTGGGGGGGTTTTTTCCCCTTTTTTTATATGTGGCTTTTATTTTATTTTTTTATGTGTTACTTTTCTTTTTATTTATAAGTTTTTTTTTGCACTTATTGTTATTGCTATTATATAGGGGGATAACAACCCCCTATATAATAGCAAAGGCACACTGACAGGTCCTCTTTATGGAGATATTAGGGGTCTCTAGGACCCCTAATATCACCTATGGACCCCAAAAGAAGCTGATAAAGCAGAGATGCCGCGAACGAGCACATATAGGCGATCGGCGGGCTATGGATCCGCTGATCGCCTATATGTGTGACACCCGGTACCGGGTGTGTGCATTGTCGGGTCTGGTCTGGAAAAAAATTGCCGTCTGGAGACGGCAACCCGCAGATGCAGCAGTGCCGTCCGTCCGTTTTTCTACTACGGGCGGACAGCAAGAGGTTAAACCATGTAACTTTTTTATTTGGAATTTGCAAGCTTCTAGAATGAAACTAGTCTTGATTTAGGACAGCTTAAAATTAGCTTTAAAGTGCGTTTTTGATGTGTTTCTATGCATTCCAGACCAGACAAAATGAGACATGCAGTATTTTTCTGGTCTGGAACGGACTGCGCTGGTGTGAACAGAAATAGCATAGGAACACATTAGGATGCATTTTGGGTCCAGAAACAATCTGGTCCGGTCTAGAGATGATCTGGATGTGGTGTGAATGGGCCCTGTGGTGTGAAGGAGAACTATGAGGTGAGTGCTTTTCACTCACCTCATAGTTCTAGCCGACCTGTGACGATGAGACTGTCACAGGTCGGCTCAGTAGATCGGGAGGTGAGCGAACACATTCCGGCGTTCGCTCAACTCTCGATCCCGTCACAGCTCTCTGCCTCAACAGGGGAGGGGCTGGATTCCCCCCGCTCTGATCCACCAGCGCTGACTGGCGGGAACGGACGGGGGAGGGGGCGTGTACAGCTGGCTCTGCCTCTAGATAGGCAGAGCCAGCTGTCAGTCACACAGCTGGGGGGATCCCGGCTACAGCTCGCGGTATACTGAGCCTAGGGTGACGGGAGGACGCTAGTTTGTGTCCTCCCGTTACCCTAAGGAGAACTATGGGGAAAAGCCTTAACCCCATAGTTCTCCTTTAAGGAAAGCTGACAGTCAAATGCACTGAACGGCTTTGCAATTGACAACAGCTCTAAGGATTGAAAAACAACAAACATAGTTAAAGTCTCTCACCCAGGACTGCGGTGTCTGGAACGTTCATCTCCTCGACGATCACGACTTTTCGAACTGTATCGTCTTCCGCGACTACGGCTTCTGTGCCTGCGATCACGGCTGCGCGGTCTTTCTCTACTGCTGCGTCGTCTGTGCCGGTCCCTACTCCGACTGCAAAGAAGGAGGTGACAAGAGGTTTAAATGTACATCTATTCTGAAAACCCCAAAAAACTGCATCAAGGAAAGTAAGGTGTGGTTATCTTATTCACCTCTGTGCCCCCATTCCCCTAGTTTGACCTGGGAGAGGTTGCTTATTACATTGCGTACATATTAGCAAGACGTGTGTGGACCAGAGCTTGGCCTTTCAAGCTCCTGCCATTATTTTTATATCTGAGCTCTCTGGGTTTTGGGACTCCAATGGCACATTGGAAGAAAACTTAAGCTGTGCGCAGGTGTTCCATACTTGAAGTAACAGAGACCACTTAATGTCATGGGTGTGGCAAGAAGCATTGGAAAAAGGGGTAATGGGTGGGTTACCAGCAGAATTAGTAAATGTTACCTTTTTTCTATTCTTGGGCAGTGATAAGTCAAAGCTCAGTTTGAGAAGTATACACCTACCTTCGTCGTCGATCACGACTTCTGCTCTTGCTCCTTTTCCTGCTCTTGCTCCTTTTCCTACTTCTACTAAAAACAAATAATATATGCAATTATATAATGTGCAAGGCATTATCCACAGATTATAAATAAAGAAACAGAGGGAAAAAAAATCCCTGATAGCAAAGACTCACCTGCTACTACTACTGGCGTTTCCAGGCCGACTGCTGTCCGTCTCTTTTTCCTCTTCCTTCTTTGTCTCCCTATTGGGAGTTTCTTCCTGTTCAGCCCAACAAAAAAATGCCACACCGACAGAAGATGGTCAGGAGGTCCCAAGACAGAATTATATGGAAGAATAGGGGCAAGGTAGGGAAATAGCAGAAAGACATAACACAAAAAAAAATCTTATTAGCTAGGTATTAAAAATAATAGTAACTGCGATAAAGGAGTGGGATTTTGAAAACTCATCAAATTTCCAAACTACCTAGATCTTTTCTTGCCATAAATACATGACCTGACATGGAGGATGAACAGAGATCAATCAGCAGAGTGCACCTCTAATTATATACCTTACCTGATACAAAAATTAGATATTATGGGTTATTTCCCCACTGTATCTCGTCTCTGAAACTCCTCGGCCTGAAGCAAACAGAGGGCATATTGCTTTATGATTTTTGGCAATTACATACTGAGAGCAAAGTAATGAAGCATATATGTGAGCTACAGACACATACAATGACTAGCATGTAATAGTGTAAAGGCATCCCCTTACCACCATTATCCCCCCCGCCCCCTCAATTATAGGCTTTACCAGCCTGCAAAAAAGCACTCCCCATGTTTCTCTGAGAAGGTATGTACATCTAGGTGGTACTACGTTTAACCTTGTTGCCTTCACTATGCGGTGAACACAGCAACAGTGCTGCATATTGTGTCACCTAAACATACAAAAATTCTCCGCTTGGTAGTAAATAAGTAGCAATTGTCATGCATGCATTTTCCTACTTCTTCCCAAGCAACAGCGGTGCGCACCCCACTCTCAACACTTATGCTGCATTCACCGCACAGGGCAAACACACGGTAAAAACCCCACTGATGTATGCGTCCCTTACATACCAATGAAACAGTATTGTTAAAAACATTGTGACAGAATGAAAACCTCCCACTAACACTAATGATCACAATATGATAAACACTAGGTACAGGTATGTATTGGGAGATAGCTGGATCACTTACTTTTCTCAGTAGTGGTTATACATTCACATAATATTCAACACTGGCCTCTAACCATCTATGGCTAATGCAGCAATGTCCGTAGTTCTGTGTAAATATCAGAGAGTACAACTTGTACAATGTGAACATGATCTTTTAGTAAAGTGTACAGGTTTAAATTTGCTGCCCCTTGTAGTGCAGAACCACCTCTGGCCGAAGGAGCTAAACCCCTATCCCACAAACAGATCTTTGCTTTGGTCCTGTGGTAGTCTTGTCGTCAAACACAGTTCAAGGCCCTTCCCCGGAAGAGCAGGGCAGGGAGGAGGACTAGGTTCTATGAAGAGAAAGGGAGCAGTGCGTTATTGATTTACTGACAGGTTCTCTTTAAAACAGGTATGTGGGCGAAGAAAACCAGCACTGAAAACTTCAAAACCAACCACCAAAATAAGAACAGTAGCACAACTTTCTTTTTGAGGTTTCCAAGTTATCTGCAAAGATGTTGTTTGCACAGAGTATTAAATAATCTACTGTTCCTGGTTTAATGCTTTATAGGGAAAAAGTGAAAGTTGTTGAAATGACCTCACTGGGCCTTTAACATAAAGGCATCTTGCGGTAAGGTTATGAGGCTTTTTGTAGAGTGTTTTTTAACCCTTGGCTATTCAGCGACATAGTAAAAAGGTTGGACCAATGACATGTCAAGTCAAATCTCTCAAACTAGCGGGACAGTCCTCTAGAAAGGCAAGGACCAAAACGTGGGCAACTGTCCCCAATTTTACTTTATAGAGAGTGAAAAGATCTGCTATAGTGTTAAACATGCAACAGTATTTATTCTTTTTCAACCACTCAACCCTTCTAATTGAAAAAAAAAAATATATATATATCTATAGATATATATCTATAGATATATAGATATATATAAAACTCAACCCTTCTAATTGAAAAAAAAAAAATATATATATATCTATAGATATATATCTATAGATATATAGATATATATAAAATGTATTTTACGTATGTAAAAAATGTTGTCACTACCTCACAAATAATATTTTTTTTAAAAGCATAGACAAAAGCTGTTGCAACCTTGGACATATTTACTGAATTGCAACACAAAAACATATCTATGCAGAAGATATTAGAGTATATCTTGGAGTTAAATCTTCAGTTGGTTGAATCATTCAAGGTAAGCATGTGCATATAGGCAAGTAACTTTTCATAAGAAAAGGTGGTCGGACTGCCTTAGGAGCCTGTCATAGTACAGCAGCAATAGCATTGACAGTATGTTGCTTTATGGTGATGCAAAGCTGTTGATTGGCCAACTTTGTCTGAATGTTTGCCCCAAGTGTCTTTGTCGGCATATGTCTAATTCCTCGCATTGTGTCACGCAGGCTGCTGATAAAGTGAGCCCAACATGTAATTATCCTCACATACGTAGGCATTTCACATATACCTTTCCACCATCTTATAACAATTTAGCCCCTTTGGGAAGGTTCAGTACTAAAATTTTAATTATAGGACCATATTAAAGACTTGTGTAGTAAGGTGTTTTCCTGCATTTAAATAGTATGTCAAACATAGGTCAACAGATTCCACATTTACTTTAATTGTACCATGTAGGTTACAGTTCTGAGGCAGTGTTTGACCTGCTTTGTTTCTATAGATGCAGCAAGTCCTACTGAAGTGCGCTGCCATCACAGGTCAAACGCAACCGCAGAACTGTAATTTACAAGCATTATTGCAGCAAATAGGTGATTGCCAACCTTTGTTTGCAGCGCATGTCAGACACAGGAAAACATTCAGCCATTGTCCTCCCTTTTAATATACAAAAGGTTATGGACTTGGCTTTAAGAAACTGCCACGAAAGGAATCCAGAAGTAAAATTTGTGTTAAGTCGACAGTACATTGCTGCTTTCATATAGTGCATGTCAATAGAAGGGTGGCAGCTGTATAGGATCACAAAGAGCCAATTCAAGACTGAAATCGGATCAAAATTGTTACTTTCAACACTAACTCTGGCAATTAACCTGGAGAAAAAATGTTTGATACTTTTTGTTGGTATTGCTTACTCTCAGACTTACCTCCCCCTTTTCCTGGTTTTTATAAGGTGCCTCCAGCATTGCTTCAATCACTATATCAAAGTCATCTGATGCCATGTCTGCTAACCAGGGAGTCAATGTTCTAAACAAAGCAGAAAGGAACACTTTCACCACACAAAAATAGCTGATTATTCAGTTCAAGTGTATGTGTACCCTAACTCCTCTTATTTCATCTATTGTGGTCCAGTAAATTGCTGTATGTTGTGGGAGCTGAGTGCATCTCTGGCAGATCAAAGGTTCATTTTCTGTACTAACCCGTTCGCTACCACTGACATTTACCATACGCTAGCAAGAGCAGGGCCCTGTAACAGGACTACTACAGTAGCTGGGCGTTCATATGTGTAAAGCTGACTGTCGGCTTTACGCATTTCTCCTCTACATTGAAAAAAAGTCTGTAGGGAAGAAACATCCGAAGGAGGGTCTTGAGCATGCATCAAATGGAGGCTCTGTGGTCCAATGGCATTATCTTTGAGATTTTTGTTTTTGACAGAGTTCCTGGTGTCAGTGTGGGAACGTGCAGTGTGAGACCAGATAGTTACAGTATTATGCTATGTGAAGACCTTATTTTTACATATTATGCCTGAATGATTTATGGCTGAGAGGAATAATACAGTGAAAGAACGAAGATTTAGACCCCCCTGCCCTTATGGCCTGTCCAATGTTTTTTGGGAACATCTTCCTTCCCTCCCTTAGGGCCAGGACCCGTTCTCTGACAAACCTCCAAAAAAAGGCTTCTTCTCCGGGAAGCATTTCTTTTTATCAGCTGTTCTTTCCAGAATTGTTTCCAATTCTGCTCCAAACAACAAATCACCTGAAAAGGGGATGTTACACAATCTAAGCTTGGAAGCTGTATCGCCCTGCCAGGCCTTGAGCCAAAAGAGCCCTGCGGGAAGAATTAACTAGTGCGATTGACCTGGCGGTCATCTTGACTGACTCAGCTGAGGCATCTGCAATGAAACCCACTGCTTTAATCAGAATTGGAAAAGATTCCAGTAACTGTTCCCTAGGGGTACCCGATAGTAAGTGGGTCTTTAATTGCGAAAGCCAAAAGTCCAAATTTCTAGCCACGCAAGTTATGGCCAGGGCCGGCTTTAAGTTCAAAAGGATAGAGTCCCAGGCTCTTTTAAGCAGGACCTCCATTTTCTTGTCCATTGGCTCTTGTCCATTGAAAACACCCATATCCTCAAAGGCCAAATCAGACCTCTTGGATACTTTTGCCAATGGAGCGTCCAGCTTGGGCGTTCCACACCAAAGCCGGGTCATCGCCAAACGGGAACCTTTGCTTGAGATTAGTGGACCTAAGAGGCTTTTTCTCAGGATCCGCCCATTCCCTGACTAGTGCGTCTGAGAGGACCTTACGCACAGGAAATACTTCATGAGGAGCACCTGCTCCTCATGGATCTTCAGAGTACTATAAATAGCAGCGAGCAAATCATCTACATCCTCCAAAGACAATTTATATCTGGAGGTAGGAGAAACTTCCTCTTGGGCGCTTAAATCTTCCAAAGAAGAATAACCATGAGAGGGGCCAGCTTCAGTGAGCTCCACTTCAGATAACCCCACCGATCTGGGATGTGCCTGGCCAGGCTCTGTTGCAGCAGGTGCTGGCCTTGCCCCGGGGTTAGGTTTAAAGCCTTCTAAAACTGATCTGAAGGATTGGAAGGTAGAAGCTAACTCCTCTTTAACTAATATTACCACAGGCTGACGAAGCCTCTTCCTTAAAGAGGTCGTCAATACACTTCCGACATAAGGCCTTTGCATAGGTAGAACCCAGCTTGCAACCGCAAACTGCACATTTCTTTGTAATTGCCACCTTGGCCTTATCTGAAGTCCTAGCCAGAAAAACATAAACAAGGGCTAAGCTCCAATCCCAATATCAGCAAAATAGAAGTGCCCTCAACACAAAAAGGTCCTGCCCAAAGAACCCCAGGTGGAGATAGGAAAACAGTCAGAGGAACCAGGGTGGTGAATGTAAAATAATCACGCATACCTGTGCCGGGCTGGTGCCTGAAGGAATTGCATCTGCTGCTGTAGAGGCCACAGTAGATTCCATCCTCGCGGAGTTTCAAATAAAACCGCCAGTGCTGTCTCAGTCACTGAGAATGAAGCACTTTAACACCAGCCAAGGCCCTCCCTTTCCCCTGCGCCAAAAACGAGGCTTGGAACACAGAGCTTCGGCGCCCGGAAGTGACGTACGCGGCCACCCGTGGAGAATTCTCCTGGAGCCGCGGAGACAAGACAAGCCCCTCTGACATCCTCTCCCCGCACTGACGGGGAAAAAAGAGCCAGCATACCCCCTGCCTTGCTAGAGGGACTAGCTGGAGGCCCAAGGTAAGCTTGCTACCTACTACAAAGAGAACCCCCCCGCATCTGCCATATGGAGGCTCCCTGCGTTCCGTGACGCGCATCCTCAGGTTTCCTGAGGAAACACAAAGACTGATGTGCTGGTTAGAAGGCGGGTCTTTTAAAAGGTTATGGGTGACGTGTTTCCTGTGGGATCGGGAGGAGCCTCCATATCTCAAGATGCTGTCCTGGAAGACGTTAGGGGCAAAAGGAGGTTTTAAAATAAAAACGGCTGTCTGACCTGAATGTGTAGTTAGGTTATTTCTTTCTTGTGAGTTCATACATTACCTGCAGGTTTGGGGTGTGAACACGTCCGGATGAGCTATCCATCACCAGTGATGAGGCTGGGCATTCTGTGGACCCAGTTCATCTGAGTTCACCCAAGCCCGCACAAAACTCTGACTGCCACCTGCTGCTGCTCCTGGTCCAAGCAGTTGCAGGGAGGCCCCTGCCATTACTTCTGACAATTGGGTTCAAAGAAAGCCCAGCCTCATCTTTTACGTATCATGGAGCTGTTTTAAACAGAGGATTTCACATCTGTAAGAACTGTTTTTATCAAAGAAGTTGCTTTGGCAGGGCTTGTGTTGAAAAGAATGCACTGATAATGATGTATGGATTTGATGTTTATATTTGGATACATTGTTTATTGGATGTAACTTTGTATCTGATTTAATAATTGTGAACGCACTATACACTTGCCTCTCTTCCCCTCCTCTGCAGCGGTCTAAGGTCCTGGAAATCACCAACATCTATACAGAGTGCATAGATGTAAGGAAGATTCCAATACTGCTGAGGTGGAGACAGGCTGGAGGTAGCGCTGCGACAGCTGGTTCGGAGCTTCAGGTGAGTATATCTTTGTTATTTTAGCACCTAGACAAAAATTAGCACTTCACCCTTGCAGAGCTGGGGTAGCCACAATGCATGAGTTAATAAAAAAAAACCTGGAGTTCTTCTTTAATGTGTTTTTCACTTTATTCTGCAGAGCTGCATTCAGTTGTTTATTTTAGTTTGTAGGTAGAGATTTTCGCAGATCAACTACTTTAAAATATCACTGAACATATCTGAACGATGATGGCAAAAATGAAAAAAATGCCACAAATCTCGTGATCTGGTAACTTCCTGTGCTCTCTACCTGTGTGCAAGGAGATGAAAAAGAGGGTTGGAGGTGATGAGTAGAGGTCTGTGTTCATTGTAATGTATCAGAACTAAAGTAGGCAGGGCTGACACCACATGCTTTAGAATTCCAAACCAAATGTGCACTGTGTTTCCATGTCAGAGGTTAAAGGATTACTATGACATGAGTGATTTCCACTCACGTCATAGTTCTAAGCCGACCTGTGACAATGAGACTGTCACAGGTCGGCTCAGTAGATCGGGAGGTGAGCGAACACATACCGGGTTCCCTCACCTCTCCATCCTGTCATGGCTCTCTGCCGTGACAGGGGGAAGGGCTGGATTCCCCTCTCCCCGCTCCGATCTGCCAGCGCTGACTGGCGGAACGGACAGGGCGGGTACAGCTGGCTCTGCCTCTAGATAGGCAGAGCCAGCTGTCACTCATGCAGCTGGGCGGATCCCGTCATCTAAGTCGGGATCCGCTCCAGGTGTGGCGTCTCAGTATACCGCGAGCTGTAGCTCGCGGTATACTGAGCTTAGGGTGACGGGAGGACGCTAGTTTGTGTCCTCCCGTTACCCCCAAGGAGAACTATGGGGGAAAACACTGACCCCATAGTTCTCCTTTAAAGTAGTATTAAACCCTCAGGTTTAGGGAAGGTGTAATGTGCCTTGGTTCCCCTAGATGGCAGCACTGTTGCAGGAAATGGTGACAGACCAGGTTAACCTCTTGCCGTCCGCCCGTTAAGAAAAAACGGACGGACGGCAGACTCCTATCTGCGGGTTGCCGTAGCCAGACGCCATTTTTTTCCTGCTCGCGCGCCCCCTAGCGCACGGGCAGGAAAGACCCGCTTGTTACTACAGCCGTTAACGGCTGTTTCACATACAACCGATCAGCGGCTCTATAGCCGCCGATCGGTTGTATGGCGTGAATTTCGGAGGCCCCCCCCCCCGCGCGATCGCGGGTGCCGCCATCTCCCCTCTCCTAACCCCTCACCTTTAATCCCGAGATCCGCTGCCCCATCTGCGGCACGGGACCGGCTCGGGAGGGCGTCAGGAGGAGGAGGACGGGAGATCAGCTCCTTGCTGTTCTCCCTCCATAGTGTGAATGCAGAAGTGATGTGTATTACATCACCTCCGCATTCACCTGTCAGTCATCTGGCTCCTATGCCAGATAGAAGAAGCTGATGAAGCAAATCTGTGCTTCATCAGCTTCTTTTGGGGTCTCCAGGTGACATTAGGGGTCTAGAGACCCCTAATGTCTCCATAAAGAGGACCTGTCAGTGATAGCTGGCCCGAAACTCTGAGCCAGCTATCACAGCGCTCCCTTCACCCTGTCTCCTCCTACACTGCAGCATTGGAATGTTTCTCAGCATCCTCACACCTATACATTGTTGGGGGGAATTTATCAATCTGGAGCAGTTGCCCATGGCAACCAATCAGCTTCTCTCTTCAGTTTTCTCAGGTAAGATCTGAAAATGAGAGAGATAAGCTGATTGGTTGCCGTGCAAGTCTGCTCCAGTTTTGATCAATTGCCCGTGTATAGAACTAAACACGTGACTAGAGTCTAACCCATGACCTCTTTTTACCATACACCTAGAGGGATGAAATGTACACAGGTTATATCTATGCCATCAAATGATGGAAGGAAAGGTCAGAGAAGCAGCCAGGACACTGTACAGCTGAGCGCCATCCACCCTCTTCTATGGTATAACTGGTTAGTGTATTTTCCTGCACACATCGTTATCGGCGGCCTACAGTTATTCGCACACATTTGCAATTCAACCTGTCCGTACAATAAGCTATGGGCACTATAAACAAACATGCTCAGCCCCGCCACTACTCGATAACACCCGCCTACTACACTCACCCGCTCCGGTAAACCCTTCGTACGCAACACAACAAAATGGCGACAAGGCCTTACGTTCCAGAATCTTCCCCTAACGGGACAAAGAAACTCAACCAATAGTATTCCATTACCTTCAGAGAACGAGGCGGGACAAGACGACAAAACCAATAAAGACACGGAGGAAGCAAAACGGCGACGAATGAGAAAGAAGGAGGTGTGTCATGGAGGCGGGGCTTGCTTCGTTTTCCCGTTACACATGGAAAAGCCTGAGGAACGGTGATTGGGTTAAAGCTGGGTGACGTAGGATGGTTGGTCAGTAGTGGTTTGGCTTTTCTGTGGTAACGCTAAACATGAACATTAAACATTCACTAATATTCCAAACAGTGAGGCTAGATTTGGTTATATATAACCTGTTCCATCTACAACTTTTTATTCCCCCCCTTCTGTAGCTTTACTTAGTTGAGGATGACCCTGGAGATAAAGGAAAACTGTTTTAATTTTGGATAGAGTGAGGGAGGGTTATAATCCCTGTTATTTTTTTGCCTTTCAAAGTTAGGTAAATCACTGGTAGGGATGCACCAATACCGTTTTTTCAGTATCTACGAGTACCAATATTTTTCCCCGATACCGGAAGTTCCATTAAATAAGGAAGGTGATGTGTAATGACTCACCACCCGGCTTCCCGATTAGCAGGGAAGCCGTCCCCATGCTTCTCGTCACTAGGTGATGAGAAAGCATGGAGCCAGCTTTCTGGCCAGTCAGGAAGCAGGGCACCGTGTAATGACGCAGAGCCTGGCTTCCTGATTGTTTGGGAAACCGGCTCCATGCTCTCTCGTCATGAGGTGGCAATGGAGCATGAAGCCGGCTTCCTGGCCAATCAGGAATCTGGGCAGCGTGTAAGGACTCTCTGCCCAGCTTCCTGATACCGGAACTACCGTGTTTCCCCGAAAGTAAGACCTACCCCGAAAATAAGACCTAGCACTATCTTCAGGATTTCTGTAATATAAGACATACCCCGAAAATAAGACCTAGTTCGGTAGTAGATCTCATATTACAGAAATCCCTGAAGATAGTGCTAGCCGCAGCTCCTTCCCTCCCTCCAGGTAAGACATCCCCCGAAAATAAGACCTAGTGTCTTTTTTCGTAGTAAAAAAAAATATAAGACACTGTCTTATTTTCGGGGAAACACGGTACTGGGCTAGGCATCGGAGCATTTGCTCGCCTAAATACTCTGCACCGATACTAGTATCGGTATTGCTGCATCCCTAATCTCTGGTGGTCATATAAAGCCAATGACATCATCACAAGCAACGTACCTCATTGTTTATTTGCAGCTGGGGAGCAGGGAATGCCACAAGCCTGCAGCTGATTGGGTGGGTGGCCCATGGCACTGTTATGTTTGGAGGTCCTCAGCTTCAGACCAGCTTTTATTCAAACTCGAGCTTACTCATAGTAATGAGCTGAATTGTCTAGGTTTGGTTTGATTGGACGTTCATTGAACCCAGCCAGAAATCCAGCTTAAGTGAACGTCAAAGTGAAGTGAACCCAGGCCGCTTGTGTCCTAGCAACCAAGGATGCTGTGTGACCCATACTCATGGTCAATCCGAACATGATCATTAGTCCTCATATTAAACAGTTTTTTGAAATCTAAAGGTGATTGTCTAGTCAGATTGAAATGTGTATGGTGAATCCAATACTGGTCATTGCCAGGCAATATTCAGAGGCTTTCCACCACAAAAAATCCGAGACAGATCACCACAATCTTCTACCAGCAGTCTCAGTGTATGGTTCCAATAGAAACTGTTGGTAGTAGGTTTGCTTGATCTGTTATTTTGTAATGAGAAGCTGGATGAGAATGGTTGAAAGTACCAGGAAATTGCCATGTGATTTGTCAACATAAAGGTGTGACGGCTGATGGTCGGCCCTGGCCCCTGTCTGTGTACACGGCATCAGTGCTCTACAGACAGGAGGCTACATACAGCAGCATAGACGTGGCTCTGGGCTCCGCCCACTATCAACTCGGCCACGCCCCCTGCCCCCCTACTCTGCTCTCCTGTGTTGTCTGGGGTCCAGCTGGGAGCCCACACCGTGCCCTGAGATGTCACCCCCACTGTGTTTGTCCACTCCCCTCTCCCTTCACACCAAGTAAGTGCACAAATATGCCATAGTTTATGTAGGCAACACATACATATGCAGAGCAGGTTCCTGACATTGCTTCTCTAGTTCAATCTGTGCTGCTGCAGCAGGATTTAGAGTTTTTAAAGAAAATGTCATTATCAAGTTCTACGTATGGCTGCAGCAAAGCTTCCTGTGCTCTCAATACTAGGGATGCACATATAGATAATATTACAAACAGGATCTGTGCTATGGAACAACAAACCCCTAAGCTGCCATGCTAAAAAAACTGTATATAACACCTAAAAAACGTGAATTATAAATGTGCACTGCGCTATGGAGACCAACTACATATGCAATCTAATGATAATCTACATGTGAAATAAATACAGAAATATATAAATACGTAGAATCACCCTATGGTGAATAAATACATATTAGGTATTTTTCCACTATATTATGTATTTATTCACCATAGGGTTATTCTGCATATTTATATATTTATTTCACATGTAGATTATTATTAGATTAGATATGTAGTTGGTCTACAAAGCACAGTGCAATTTTATAGTTCACTAGGAATGCTACTCTACCGATAACTGCACAGCCCGCCTGAGATCCCTACAGTCCTCCTGAGACCCCGCACAGCTTCCCACCAGGATATTGAATATCCTGTCTCTCTCTCCTCACTCTCTCTCCTGGCTGTCTCTCCTTGCTCTCTCTCCTGGCTGTCTCTCACTCTTTCCCCTGGCTGTCTCTCCTGGTTCTCTCTCGGTCTCTCCTGTCTGTCTCTCCTCGCTCTCTCTCCTAGCTGTCTCTCTTTGCTCTCTCCCCTAGTTCTCTCTCCTGGCTGTCTCTCCTCTCTCTCTCTTCCGTCTGTCTCTTCTTGCTCTCTCTCCCAGCTGTCTCTCTTTGCTCTCTCCCCTGGCTGGCTCTTCTCGCTTTCTCTCGTGGCTGTCTCTCCTTGCTCCCTCTGGCTGTCTCTTCTTGTTCTCTCTCCTGGCTGACTCTCCCTGCTCTCTCCCCTGGCTGTCTCTCCTCCCTGGATGTCTCTCCTCTCTCTCTCCTGGCTGTCTCTTATCTCTCTCTCCCCTGGCTTGTCTATTCTCTCTCCCTTGGCTGTCTCTCCTCACTCTCTCTCCCTTGGCTGTCTCTTGGCTCTCTCTCCCGTCTGTTTATTCCAAAAAAATTTGCAGAGGGGTGCTAGTGTTGCCCCACCTCTTCCGTATGCTGCTGGTAGGGCCAGGGAGGGGAAGGGGTGATGGTGAGGGGGGCCCAATACATTTTTTGCCCAGGGTCCAATCAGCATGAGTTCAGGCAGTTTTCAGATCAAGTCTCTCTTTCCTCTAACTTCCAGGGTGTAGAGTCATCCTCAGAAAGAGGTAGGCTAAATTAGAGGCCAAATTTATAACTGCCATATTGATAATCACCGAATCACTGTTACAATGTCCTTTCAGGGCATAATGACCACCCTTGCCCTGAGCAAACTCTGGTGTCAGCTGTTCTACCTTGTGTGGTAGTGTTAGGGCCAGGCATTTGGCCACTCAGGCCTGAGCACTATCCAATTGCATGCTCCCCCTACCCAGAAGCTCTGATCTGAACCTGCATAAGAAAACTAGCTTGTTCAGCATGCAGATAGCCCAGTGTATCATTGGGCTCTCCTCGGATGTCGTACACCTGCAGCAAGTGGACCTTATCCAGAAGTAACCAGTCAGAAGGAACTGGCCTCCCGCATATTGGACAGGGCTAGGACACAGGGTTTCGTCCAAGGCAGGATCCAAACCAACACTTCTTATTACAAGAGCTTCTGTTCCTCCAAGATGTTAAAGTCATGGAAGCACTTCAATGTTGTCCAACAGTGTCTTTCTTAGGAGACCTACATAGGAAATGATCACATGATGTAGGAGGAACCACCTGTTCTGTAAATCCAGAATGTAGTCCAAGAGACGAGAATTGTCCAGTAACAAGATCTTCCTAAAAGTGGAACGAGAAGTTCTTACCAGACCCAGAACTGGAGGTCTGCTTAGGAGCTAGATCCACAACAGCAGAGCAGAAGGTTGAGGTAGTCAGAGAAGAGATAGGAGAAAAGGGGCACCTCATAGAGGGAGGCCTCTTGAGACCCAGATCTCCTGCAACATTTGAGAACAAGGTAACCCCCTGACCAAGGGGGAGGGATATTAGAGTGGTTAACCAAAATGTCTGAAGGGGAAGAGCAGTTTTCTGCAACGATGAAGCAAGATCCAACCAAATCTAAGAGGCCCATTAAGGATGTGATGTCTGCCAAGGCCTGCAGCGACTGATCTCTCAGCTGGTGGACACCTGATTGTCCCACTATGGAGATGGCCTGGGAAGACACCAGGGCAGATAGTGGAATCATCACTCTGCAGAACACTAGATGTGGAGGGTTGAGGCAGTGGTCCATCAAGTCTTCCCTGCTTTGTTTTCGTGTTTTTTTAAATCCTTATTATTCAAGTATAGGTCTAGGTTTGTTGAAAGCATGATAATTTCACGCACTGTGGACTAAAGGTGGCCATACACTTTACAACCATTGCAAGACCTTAGTCTTGCGATGGTTGTAAAGTAATTTAAAAAAACGTACGATCTGCACATCTTGGACAGGCAGATCGTACTTGCGATCATCGCAAACCCGCCCCCCTGAGGGGAGGGCTTCCGATGACCGCAATGTTGAACGGGCAGTGTGCTCGTGCGCACACCGGCCCGTTCGGCATTTGTCTCCCGAGCACCGTTCAAACCAGCCAAAAATCGTAAGATTTTCGGCTGGTTTTCTAGCGTGCTCCTTAGACAAAAGACGTGCGACCGTACAGTAGAAACAGTCGCACGTCTTCATTCACACTGCACGATCGCGGGATTTCCCACGATTCTCGTACGAGAATCGTGCAGTGTATGGGCACCTTAACTCTGCTGAAAGTCTGTTCCAACAACTCTTTCAGTAAATAAAATACTTTCTAAGGTTAGTGTTGA